AGACAGACAGAAAGTGAGAAATCACCACCCAGGGTGGATGGCCATGCCACAATCCCTTCTCCTGCATTGCCCTTGGGATCTTGGGCACGCATGCACACACGCTGGGTGTGAGTTTAAGCCATTGGGTTTGGGACTTGAACTGCGGTCAACTACATGGGAGTCCAGCGACATAGCCATTACGCCATCTGCTGGTCCCCTGTGTTATTAGTATTATTTTAATTAATTAAATTCCATTTATTATTATTATTTTTTAATTTGACCATAAAGAGACAGAGGGAGAGAGACAGGGAAAGGGAGGAAGCAAGCCACTGGGCCGGGACTAACACTACAATCAGCTCTGTGGGAATCTAGCACTTTTCACCACCACGGCCCCCTGCCGGTCACAAATGTTGTTATTTCTATCTATCTGTCTGTCTATTTATCTATTTATTTATTTATTTAGAGAGGTTTTTGCTATAGGGTGCCTGTGCTCGCCAGAGTGACAGAGAGAGAAGGACAGACAGTGAGAAATCACCTTCCGGGGGGGAATGGCCACCCGCAATCCCTTCTCCTCCATTCTCCTCTAGGGATCTTGGGCACTAACGCACACGTGCCAGGCGTGAATTTAAGCCACCGGGTCCGGGACTTGAACCGCGGCCGATTACATGGGAGTCCAGCCACATAGGCATTATGCCAACTGCTGGTCCCCCAAACGTTATTATTAACGCAAAGCCTTTGGCAGCGTGCTTTAAGGGAGATTAACCAGACCACACAGTGTCAAGCGGATCGCTGGGAAGGACCCCACGGAACTTTGTAAACAGTAGCTACTCAGGAAAACCGAAGGGCATTCCCTGCGCCCATCTGGCATACTGGGTACGTATGGGCTCACAGTCCCCAGGGGATGACAGTCCCCAGGGGATGACAGGGGCTAGACAGGAAAGTGCCAAAGTTAGAGGGAAAGAAGATGAAGGCGTACATCCTTCAGCTCAGCGTCTCTGCAGCTGTTCCCTGCCGGAATCTTGCAGAGCGAGGCGTGGCAGGAGCCGCGAGCCCCCGGGACTGGGCAGGACTCGGATCGGCGGTCAGGAACACCATAAATTTCCGACAGGGCGCCCGAGCCAAAGGCGCGCATGCGCGGTGCTGACGCGAGGCTCACCTGTACTGAAGTGGGCGGGGCTAGTCGGAGGGGCGGGCACGGTGACGTCATGAGCACGTCGCCGCAGAGCGATTCGCGTCCCGGAAGCGGCGGCGGCGGAGGCGGAGGAGCTTTTCGGAACTGGGAGATCTGCACCGCTGAGGGAGTAGGCGCGGCGGCGGGCTGGGGG